AGCCATCAGTCCTGGATTGTGAGAGGGCAGTCGGACATCCCTCGAGGGGTCCCAGATTAGAGAGGGTGCAGGCTGGGCTGAGGGACACACCACCCCCGTGCACGAATTTCGTGCACCAGGCCTCTAGTTTTTACATAAAAGACTAGAACTCTGGAAAATACACACAATGTCTTGGCAATACAATGTTTAGGGGTTGACAGATCAAGCGGGATCTAACGAAACGCAAGATTTGTGAAGAACGAGATCTGAAGCTCAGGCGTGTCTTACTCCCCATCTTGAACGGTACATGGTACATGGTACATGGCACATGGCACTCTATGAATATTAGTTGAGGAAATGATAGAATGAGCGTGTGGTGGTGAAGGTTGCCCTGATGGCATTGCTCAGACTCATAGGCGTCCCTATGGACTAGAAGAGAAACGTCGTGGGCTGTGCTTACCATTTGGGAAAACTCAAAGGAAATTGTACAGTCAGTACTTTCAGCAGAGGTTTTATTTGATTTATTTTTTAAATCCTCACCCAATGATATTTTTCTATTGATTTTTAGAAAGAGTGAAAGGGAGGGAAAAGAGAGAGAGAGAGAGAGAGAGAGAGAGAGAGAAACATCAATTGATGGCCTCCCACACATGCCAGGGCCAGGGAGAGGTATGTGCCCTTGACTGGAATCGAACCCAAGACCCTTCAGTCCACAGGCCGATGCTCTATCCACTGAGCCACACCGGCTAGGGCCAGTCATTACTTTTAAATGATTACTTTCATCAGATACTTCTAAACCTGGGGATTTGTGAAGTTAAACATGGAGAGGTTTTTTTAAAAAAAATATTATCTTAAGTGAGAGAAGCCAGACATAAAGGGCCACGTATTGAATGATCTATTTATAAGAAATATCCAGAAAAAGCACACTTACAGAAACAGAAAGATTAGGAGTTGCCAGGATCTGGGAGGAGGGGAGAATGAGGAGCGGCTGCTAATGGGTGCGGCGTTTCTTTGGGGGGTGATGAAAATGTTCTGGAACTAACTAGTGGTGATGGATGCGTAGCTCTGTGACTAGAGTGAAAACCACTAACTGCGCACTTGAAACGGGCAAGTTTGTGATACGTGATTTATTCCAGCAAAGCTGTTTTGGAAAATGACAAGCACACTCCCAGCCTTTCAAGGGGGGGGAGGGGCGCTCAGTGGTTAAAAGGTCAGGAACCGCTTGCTCCTTTGATTGCAGATTAAAATGCTCCAATCCCAACTCTAAAGGGGAGCAGGCAGGATATTCCTGTGGCCACGGAGAATGGAGGTGGGCCCCGTTATTGCCGACTTCCCCCGCTTCTTCAGCCCCAGGAATTAGGGAGAAGCGTGGCAATGGGGGTGTAACAAGCGCAGTGCGGAGAGCTAGGTGGTGAGCCTTCCAGGGTCCATGGACAAGTTCATGCTCTCAGGGGGCCCAGTTTCAGGCTGTGTGCCCCCTTCTCCTACCACATCAGTCTAGGCCAGGGGGCAGGAGACTGCTTCGCAAAGGGCCGCATAGTCCACATTTTGGGCTCTGTGGACCATCCACTCTGTCACTGCTGCTCAGCTCAGCCATAAACAAGTGGTGAGCAAGTGGCGGCGACTGCTCCAAAAAAGGCCCTATTTATGGACGCTGGGATTTGAATTCCGTGGACATGTCACATGCTGCAAAATAGCGCTCTTTTGATTTTTTTCCCCAAGCCTTCAAAATATAAAAACCGTTTGTAGCGCGCAGGCCACACAAAACAGGAAGGGGCCAGGGTTTGCAGACCCAGCTGCAGGCTAATGACTTAGAAAAAGGTACTCGACTAATCAGCAGGTTGTTGGGAAGCACGGTCAAGTCTTTAAACCGGTGTACCACATGAAGCAATAAATAATGCTCAATTTATGTTTAAAGGCCAAGCCAGCGAGAGACTCAATTGCAACGGCCCAACGTTTTTTAGCAAATTATGAAAAATCCGCTAATAAGATCTTTTTCTGAGGAGTATTTAGAGTATAAGAATGCTACCTTGTGTGGCTGGGAGATTTTTATTTTCAAGCCGGGGAAGCCGTGGAGATCTTGAACACAGGCCATTAAGCAGCCTGCCAAGGCCGTGCATTTAAGGCGCTGGGAACTGGTCATTGCCCCTGGCTGCTGAGATTCACAGCAAAGTTATTCATTAAGTTCACTTTTTTTTTTTTAAACTACCAACAATGCTTCTTTATGCTTTATCTGCATTTGATACACTTCCAGAAAGATGATCTGGAATTTGGCTAATGAGTGCACACATTGTCATTTTAATGACAAGTAATTTAGGGAAAGAAAACTCGACGGAAAGGTCCCCGAGCTCCGGTCCCTGGAGGAGCGGCCCGGCTGGGTAACGAGCTGGAAATGCAAAAGAGAGAAAACCGTTGGAAATATGTTGGCCCTTTTATATGACCCTTTTGGGGTTTATTTTCCAGTTTGAGCCCCAGTCAGGAACATAGAGGTCCGGCCTGTGCCCTGTAACCCCCAACATCCCCCTTCCCTTGGCCATAGACGTCTTTAGCTCTGTTCACTTGCAGAAAAACAAAACCTATATTCACTAGGATCCTAAGAGAATCCGGGGGCAGGGGGGACCAGGTGCGGAGCTCACCAGAGTTTTCAGCATAAACTGACTCTTTAACTTATTTTGTAAAAATATTTTTATTGACTTTTAGAGACAAGGGAAGGGAAAGGGAGAGAAAAAAAAAATAGAAACATCGATGTGAGAGCAGAACATCTATGGGCTGCCTCCTACACGCCCCATACCCGGAACCAAGCCCGCAACCCGGGCCTGTGCCCTGACTGGGAAGCTCTCTGCGCTGGGGGCGACTGAGCCACACTGGCCGGGGCTGTCACTGATTTTTTGATACATAAATAAGTCAGGTGCCCACTGAGGCCACCGTTCTCGGCAGACCGTGTAGATAGCCAAGAAGTCTTAAATGTGGGCTCTGTCCCCCGGGGGCCTAGAGCCCACTCTGGTTGTTGGCGGAACTTGTTTTCTTGGGGTTTCAGGACTGAAGTCCCCATTTCCTTGCTAGCCGAGGGCCACTCTTTTCCCTAGGGGCCACCTCCACCTGCAAAGCAGCGACAGCACATCGAGGCTTTCGCACACATAGGCTCTCTCTGAATGTCTCTGCTTTGGGCTACTATTTCAGACATTCTGCCTCCCACGGAGGGTGATGATTTTCACCTGCTGCCTCGCTCCTTTGTGAGCTGTGTCGCCTAGGGCAGTGGTCGGCAAACTCATGAGTCAACAGAGCCAAATATCAACAGGACAACGATGGAAATTTCTTTGGAGAGCCACATTTTTTAAACTTAAACCATATAGGTGGGTCCATTGTTATTAACTTAATTAGGGTCCTCCTAAGCTGGCCTTTGCTAAAAACTCAAGGGGCCAAAGAGCCGCATGTGGCTCGCGAGCCGCGGTTTGCCGACGACTGGCCTATGGTAACAATAGCTTCATGGACAGTTAGTCCACTCTCTCCCGGAGTTAAAGGGCATATGAGAAACCCGACGGTGTTGCCTTCCTCCTGGTACTTGCTTCTCCCTGCAAGGAAATCTGTATCTTTGGGCATTCCCTCCTGTCTGTGGTCATCCGCTGGCTGTTGGTGCCAACACTGGAGGGCCCGTGGCCCATCCGTTCAGGGCAATTCCAGGTCCTTGGGAAGAGGCATTCTGGAGGCCCAGACGGCACAAGAGGGCAGCACAGAGCAAGAGCTGGTAAGGGTTGACATGCAGACTCACAGGCCCTAGGCCTCTCGGAGGTGACCTGTTCACCTGTCTTCAAAGCATCTTCTCACCCAGCATACCTATGCCTCCTCCCCCAGCCCCCCGAGCCTTCCGTAGAACTTTGGCAGATACAACGAGTGCTGACCGTGGGCGGATCACACACAAAACCAGCTCGCTAAGTATCTGCTTCATAGAACCTCCCTTTCTCCAACTCTGGAAGCCATGCAGAGGTGACACCTGGGAAAACGGACCTTTTGAAGTCCAGCAATGTCAGCACCCCTGGGAAAAAGTCTGACCCTGTGTCCCAGCCAGGTTGGCTCAGCGGATAGAGCGGCGGCCTGCAGACTGACCCGGCCCTGGTTAGGACCTGTGCCGGAGGCGACCAATGGATTTCATATCGATGTTCCTCTGTCTTTCCCTCTCTCTTCCACTCGCTCTCAAAATCCATGAAAAAATATCCTCAGGTGAGGGTTAATAAAAAGAAAAATCACCCGCCCTGACCGGTTTGGCTCAGTGGATAGAGCGTCGGCCTGCGGACTGAAGGTTCCCAGGTTCGATTCCAGTCAAGGGCATGTACCTTGGTGGCGGGCACATCCCCAGTAGGGGGTGTGCAGGAGGCAGCTGATCCATGTTTCTCTCTCATCATTGATGTTTCTGACTCTATCCCTCTCCCTTCCTCTCTGTAAAAAAAAAAAAAAAAAGAAGAAAAATCACCCAACATATTATGTTTATCTTTCCTTCCTTCCTTCCTTCCTTTCTTCTTTTTCTCTTCTTTCTTTCTTTCTTTCTTTCTTTCTTTCTTCTTTTTTCTTTCTTCTTTCTTTTCTTTCTTCTTTCTTTCTCTTTCTTTTTCTCTTCTCTTTCTTTCTTCTTTCTTCTTTCTTTCTTCTTTTTTCTCTTTCTTCTTTCTTCTTCTTTTTCTTTCTTCTTTCTTTCTTTTCTTTCTTCTTCTTTTTTTCTTTCTTTCTTTTTCTTCTTTTTTTTTTATTTATTTTGCAAGCACTATGCAAAAATCGGAGTTTGCGACTGCGGAGTTGGAACCCCATTATTCTGTTTCCCCTGCACAGCGCTGTCTCGCAAGCTGACGTGTTTGTTTGCAAACAACCCCCGGGAGGAGGAAGAACGGAGCCCGGGTCCCTCGCTGACGCTGAGGCCGAGAGCCGAGTGTCCTGGGATCCCGTGTAGAGAAACAAGACCATAGTCTAGTGAGCATGCGCACGGGGCTGCCGAGTGAGGTTAATAACTACACAGCCGGAGGGGGCCAGCAGGTGCCCCGTTAGCACGGTAGGCAGTGCGTCAGTATTGGGATCTGAAGGTCGTGAGTTCAATTCTCACACGGGGCGCAATACTTTTGTTCGCTCGAGATCCCTACGCCTGCTGGAAAGGAGCATTTGGTTTGCTCGTCTGTGCGCTGGGAGGCGTCGGGCATCCTCACATTTCCATTTTGGGGCCACCCTTGTGTCCGCTGACCCTCGGCTCAGCCTGACCTCTCTGGAGGACTCGAGCCTCGGAGGTTTCACTGCCTACCATCTCCCTGCTCTGTCCGGCGGCTCCCCCAGCTGCGTGATGATCAGGGGGGACGGGGACACCTGCGCAAGACTGGTCCACGGGGGCGGGCCGGGACCCCGTGGAGCCTCTTTGGAAGAGGCCCATCTCACCACCCCCCTGCTGTGGCGGCGGGGAGACGTGCGAAGCCCGGGTTGGCGAGAAGTTCATGTCATATAGCCACTCCTGCATCCCAGCCCCCTAAGCCTTTGGGTGCCTCCGTTCGCATCATGCCAGGGAAATTCTGCCCCGTCGATCGGATTAAATAGAGGCCAACCCGAGTCCCCACTTCTGTCCGGTCAACTGTTCGGGCTCCTTCCAGTTGCATGAGTGTGCCTGCTCTTGTCTGGCTGCCTGTCAGCGCCCATGCCCTCTGCAGTACCTGCCCCACCGTCACATCACCGACTGGGCTCGGCCGCGCTTCTCCTTCCCGTGCGCACCGCGCCAAGCTGCCAGTAGGGGGTGCTGCACGGCACGAAGCAGCCATGGGCGGCTCAGCTCCCAAGTGCTGTTGCACTCATCCTTCTTCTGTTTCATGGTTCAGGCGTGGTGCTCTGCCCCAGCCGTGTGCCCAGAGCACATAATCTCTCAACATGGGCCTGGCATGTTCCAGGTCTAGAGCCGGCAGCAGCGCCCTGACACGCTCTGAGCACCTTGTGCCTTCCCGTGTTGGTGCCTGTGGCCCTCCTCACATGGCCAGTGCTCAGGGTCCTGATGCCCTGACTCTATGCCCTTTTACCCAACAGCCTTGGATTGCCTGCACCCCAGACACTTCCCTCCTGAGGCCTGGGGGCTGCGGGCCAGCTCCGGCATGGGCAACCCAGCACCCCCTCAGCTATCCAGTGGTCGGCAACCACTTCTGGAACTAGGTCTGAGCCTGAGCCTGGGGGAGGAACGCGCCTCCCTTCCAAGTTTTTCTTTTCTGTACTTTCCCTCAGGCCTACACACCCTTTAGAATTCTCATTACATCTTTAGTTACTCCCCTATCATAGTTCAATAACTTTTAAAATATACTGTATTTTTTATTGTTGCTAGTATTGCAGATATCTCCCATTCTCCCCTCCTCCCAGTCCCTACCCACCCTTCTAGGACCTTAGTACCCATGTCCATGGGCTGTGAATATCTATACTAATAAAAGGGTAATATGCAAATTGGTCACAGTGCCCTCTCAGTAACAACTGAACAGCAGACTGCGTGGGGCGACCAGGCAGGCAGAGGGCTTAGCGAGGGACGGCCAAATGACTGACCAGCAGGCTGCGTGGGGTGACCAGGTCAGCAGAGGGGGCAGTGAGGGGTGTCCAGGTTGACAGAGGGAGGCAGTTGGGGGTGACCAGGCTGGTGGGGGGGCAGTTGGGGGCGATCAGGCAGGCAGGCAGGTGAGCAGTTAGGAGCCAGCGGTTCCGGATTGTGAGAGGGATTGGGATCGGGCTGAAACCAGCAGTCGGACATCCCCCAAGGGGTCCCGGATTGGAGAGGGTCCAGGCTGGGCTGAGGGGGACCTCCCCTGCACCAATTTCGTGCACCGGGCCTTTAGTAAATATATAAGTTCTTTGGTTTATCTCTTCTTGTCCCCCCAACCCACGTCAAGGTATGTCAGTCAGTCTGTTCCATGCCTCCTGCTTTGGGTCTTATTTTGTTGGTCAATTCATTTTGTTCATTAGATTCCACAAATAAGTGAGATCATGGGATATTTGTCTTTCTCAGCTTGGCTTATTTCACTTAACATACTATTTTCTAGGTCCATCCAGGCTATTCCAAAGGGTAAGAGATCCCTCTTTTTTATAGCTGCATAGTATTCCATGGTGTAAATGTCTCACAGCTTTTTTATCCATTCATTTACTGATGGGCACTTGGGCTGTTTCCAAATCTTAGCTATTATAAATAATGCTGCTATGAACATAGGGGTGCATATATTCTTTCTGACTGGTGTTTTGGGGTTTTTAGGATATATTCCCAGAAGTGGGATTACTGGGCCAAACAGAAGTTCCATGTTATTTTTTGAGGAAACTCCATGCTGTTTTCCACAGTGGTTGCCCCAGTCTGCATCCCCACCAGCAGTGCACGAGGGTTCCCTTTTGTCCACATCCTCACCAGCACTGTTGCATGTTGATTTTTTTTTTTATGATAGCCATCCTTACAGGTGTGAGGTGATATCTCATTGTGGTTTTAATTTGCATTTCTCTGATGATTAGTGACTTTGAGCATTTTTTCATATGTCTATTGGCCATTTGTATGTCCTCTTCAGAGAAATGTCTATTCAGGTCTTCTGCCCATTTTTTAATTGGATTGTCTTCCTTTTGTTGAGCTGTATGAGTACTTTATATATTCTGGATATTAACCCCTTATCAGATGTGCCATTGGGAAATATGTTCTCCCATGCAGTGGGTGTCCTTTTCATTTTGATGGTGGTCTCTTTTGCTGTGCAGAAGGTTTTTGTTTTGCAGCCCCATTTATTTATTTCCTCCTTTGCCCTAGCAGATGTATCCATAAACATATTGCTACATGAGATGTCTGAGATTTTACTGCCTACGTTCTCCTCTAAGATTTTTATGGTTTCATGCCTTACATTTAAGTCTTTCATCCACCTTGCAGCATATTATATTTAAAACAACTTGCAAAACAACATGTAAAGTATGGCCCCATTTTTGTGGCTATGATGTACAGAAAAAATGACCCCTGGAAACGTAAACCTACTGAATGCTGCTTCTTGGTGGTTAGCTTCTTCTCCAGCCCTTTCCTTTGGGGCAATGTTACAAATGAGAAGTATTACAGTTGTGTCAAGAAAAATACTATTAGAAAAGTTAACCCTTCTCTCCGTTGCCTTTAACGTTTAGGATTAATGGGCAGTGTAAACTCAGTCATTCGCGTGGAGCAAAAGGAGAAATATTTTGCATGGCCCATTCATGACTCCTGTAGATCTCCAGAGGGCTTCCTGCCTCCAAGTTTATTGTCGCATTCTTCTTAATTCTGCTTTGGACGCATGTACATTATTTTCTGCAAACAGTATACCACCTATTAAAGAGTGTTTCTTCTCTTCTAGTAAGGTTTTGGTGTCCCCAGAGCCCCCTTAGTCCTGTTTACTTTGGATATTTCAGGAGTTACTGTAGGATTTAACTGTGGTGAGTCGTTAAGCCCTCTTTTTAAATTCACAAACTGCCTCTAATCTTAGAAAAACGTCAGGTTACACTTTTGAGAGGCTTGGGAACTTGACATTTTGTAGCCCAGTTGGGGTGTAGGCAGCTTCCATTCTGAGCACCTTGTTCCAATTTATGTCAGAGGGAATTATATACAGGTCAGGGCTGAGAGCAGGTTATAATTAATGGGGTGGACAAGTGGATTTTTAGTGTTTCATAAAATAAAATGGAAATCACATGTGCATGGAACTGTTGTGTGTTTTAAAATATTTACATTTGTTCTAGTAAACATTAATTATAACTGATATATTTCTCCTGTGAACTTACTAACTGGGAGGTCACAAGTCATTGTTCACTGAATAGAAAGATCGGATGACAAGCTATATACATACATATATGTGTATATATATATATATATATATATATATATATATATATATATGTAATTTTTTTAAAGAGTACTTGGGGAGATATTGGTGAGTGAACTTGTGGAAGTAATCCAGTCTTAGGTTTTCCTCTTAATTTTCTCTCACGTTTAAAGCACCCACTTGCCAATATGATCCAGATGTCAGTTCTTCTAAGGGAGATTGGGGAGTGCTTGGCTTGTGAAATTCCTGAATGGATCCTGGTGAACACGCATGACCAATGCTGAACTATTAGTCATTTTTTAAATTTAAGTCTAGAAGTAGTTGAAACACAACCAGAATCTACAGCGTCCACATTTTCTTTACATTCATACATCAGAAATTTCCAATTCCTTGCAGATGTAACAGCAACATGTTGCTGAGGAAAGAGATCTTTAAGAGTCAGAAAAACCCATATTCTAAACTGGACTCTGCCATGTGCTAGCTGTGTGGCCCTGGGCAAGATGCCTGTAACTCTGAGCCTCAGTTTCCTCATCTGCAGAATGGGGAAAATGATACCTCCTGTTTAGGATTTGGGTAAGAATTAGAGACAACTTAAAGTGCCTGACAAATTATAGGTATTAAAAAAATATCAGCTATAGGTATATGAAGGAATGGTCAAAAAAGGGGGAATTCAAAGGAAACTTCATATAAATTGTATTACATGTCAATCATTTGGGTGTTAGGTATGTTAATGCATTCTTTGTTTTTGCCCAGAAGTCTTCAACTCCCCTAAGTAAATATTATTTCTATTAAGTTAATTACTTTTGTAGATATTCTTTGTTTCATGCAGTGAAGAATCAATATAAGCACACTGTCTATCAAGACAGAATAGTTAACTAAGTGATGCATCATGAGACCTTTTTGCTCTTTTCTAAGGAAGCTATTTAAGTATTTTTTAAAAATTATTTATTGTTTAAAGTATTACATATAGTGTTACATTTGTCTCCTTCCCGCCCCCCCCCCCACCCGTTGACCTCTCCCCGAATTAGCAGGTAACAATCTACACTACTTCCTAATTCTGCTTCTACAGATGAGCCAGAAGAGTGTTTGATGGTTCTAAATGGGATGGGGCCACTTGTCCAGATGCTTGACCAAAATCGTCATGTCCACTTAATCAACCTGGAAATCACTCTAAAGAATACACCACTTTAGAGTATCCCAGCTTAGAGAGTCTCTGCAGAATTCTCCAAGGTTTTAGATCTATAGTATTCTCTGGGGGGTCCCTTAAAAATGCCTATATTTTGGGTGTCACTACCC